GACATCTGACAAGTATGCATACACCCATTCATTCCCTGACATTGGTAACAAAAGATATGTAAAAATTAATTTAAAGCCCAAGGTCTTCAGCTAGTCTTTAACTTCATTGATACAAATCTAAAATACATTCATTTTCTTGAAATTTTGATTATTTTTCTAATTGTTCCCTGATTTTTATGCACATTTCCTTGCTGAGCATGTTGGATGTACATTTTTAACCTTTTCAATCTTCGGAATGTGACGATTTCATCTCTGATCAAAAATGTTGAAACTTTGTGATCAAGTCAGACAAGTCAAGAACCCGAGTCCAAATTTCCAATAGAATTCTCAAATTTTGTAATACAGTAATGATATTGTTGGTTTTCACATTATGGTTTTTCCAGAACAGACTGAGTCGCTGGTGTTTCGAAAGGAAGCTAATGTCGTATATCAACTCGACGCTGGTGTCGAATGTGACTTCGTCGATACACGTTTGTCGGAAATCATCGCTGAGGTTGAAGAGCGCGTCCAAGGTTTGTTGAATCCGTTTTCTAAAACCTGATGAAACTTATTATTAATGTGAACTATATTATTACCGCAATAATGGAAAAGTTTCTCGGGATTCTTCCTCGATTTAATGATAATGTCTTGTTTTTTTTCTGAAGCCCTGTCGAAACTCCGAGACTTTTAAATAAACTTATTATATTCTACTAGGGTGTTCGAAGATGTTATTGACTTTTCGAAAAAGCGGACTTTTCAGTACTGCATACGACGATACATTTTAAAACAAATTGCATCAAATGAGCTAATGGGTTTAACTCATCGTAAACCGTTCATTCAAACTCGTTTGACAATATTTTTTATGCGAAGGAAACGGGAGTTTAAAAAACTCTTGATGACTGCCGCGCGACTGCGAATGAAATTTTCTGAGTGCAAAACTTTCGTCTTCATGTCATCGATATAATTCCGCGAATAACTGAAAATTACTAACTAACTGCTGTAGAAATCCGATCATCAGGCCCTGATTAACCATTCATTCAGGTAATTTCCCCCAGTCATATATTTATTTCACATTAAACATAACGGTTTGTAAATTTTTGTCATTTTCACTCATTCCGCTTTTCTTCCTGATTTCCTCTTTTTCTGAGGCAATTTACCTTTTCAATATGTGGGAAAGTCAATTGTACCATTCCGGTCATTATCGAGTGCTATACAAATTCCCGTTCAAAATGATTGCGTAGCAATATTCTCGATATTGTATGAGGGTTCTAACAAAAGTTCTCGGAATAGTAATGAAAATGGCATATGATCGAGCTGGAAAAAAAGTATTCTTTATGGAACACATATTCTTTGGCACAAAAAAAAGCAGCCCTGTTTGACAATTTTGTTATGCTTAGCAAAATTCACCCTGGCAGAGTTTTGCTCTCCACTGAAACGATGAGGCGCCCTTTCTGCAGTTTTTAAATTATTTTTTTAAGCCCATCTTTTCCCTCAGAATTCTTGAAATCAACTTGGCATTAATTCCAAGGGTTGCCTCCAGGTCTTTTCAGGGCTATTCTGCCAAGGTAATTCCGCCATTTTCATCAACAGCCAAGCAGAATATCAACTTCTGCCTTTTTTATTTCGAAAATTCTGAGGGGAAAGCTTGGCTAAAAAAAACTGCAGGAAGAAAAAACCTCATCTTTTGAGTGCAGAGCAAAAATCTGCCAGGGAGAATTTTGCAAAACATTAAAAAATTGTCAAACAGGGCTGCTTTTTTGTGTGCCAAAGAATTCTTTCCCTAAAGAATAATTTTTTTCAGCTCGATTATACGCCATTTTCATTTCTATTCCGATAAACTTCGTTAGAACCCTCGTATCTCGTGAATCAGCATGCAACGGTACCCGATCATTAGCCCAGAAAATTTTAAATTTTTTCTCGAACTTAATCGAAGCATACAAATTGAATGATCGGATTTCCCAAGAAGCTCACGTTCACATTATTGAAACAGACGATTTCCTGAACGAAACGTGCCAAGGACTCTTCGCCTGCAGTGTCGACATCATCGACACCAATTGCTCGTCATCCCTGGACCATCGACGAAACACGACAGCGACATTTCTCAAATTCACTGTCGGTTTCTCCGTCGCCATCGAATACGACCTGATCCCGACGACGACTGCGAAAAGGCGGACGAGACAATATCGCAATAATAATAATAAGAACAATCCCGAAGAGAGCAAATTGACCATGTTGAACTTGGTGGAAGAGAGTAATCATCGGGGAATGAGCACAGAGTGCGGGCTGACGATGTCGACGTCGAACTGGAAAGATGTCGACTGTCGGGTCGTGAGAAAAAGGGTCGCCAGGAACGTGCAAAGATTGTCCAAGAAATTGAGGATCGCTGCGAAGGAGTTTTGGGGACGTCCCGATGAAGATCCGTTTGAGTGAGTTCTCTGCTATATTTTGTTTTGGACGAATCTGAAAAATTTTTAAATTCTCGAGCAGGAACCAGTCTGAAACATTGTATTTTGCAGTTCATTACGCAGGGAAATAAAACCCATTCTGGAAGTTTGAAGAGTTTATTAACTCTGAGAAAAATTTGCTTGACGCTTCTAAAAACCAGAAATTTATTATAGACACCCTCCAAAATCATTCACCGAAAATGCTAAAAAAATTCTACCGTTACAGCTTATTCTTGACTTATGATTGAAAAAAAACTTTCTAACCTACTAACATTCATAGGCATGATTTGAATTTCAGTCTAGGGCAGAACATTTTTTTCATTCGGCCTCCTCTGTATCATTTTTCAACTCATCATCGACTTATGCTAAAAATAAAATAAAATTCATAACTTACTAATATTCTTGGGTGAGATTTGAATTTCAGTCGAGTACAAGGAATATTTTCATTCGGCCTCGTATTAATTTCATCAATGATTTCTAGTGCTACAGGAATTTTTTTTAATGAAAAGCGGCTCATATCTTGAGTTAAGAAGAAAAAAGAACCCATTTTTAAAGTCGCCAAAAATTCCACGCACTAAATTTAGTAGTGTATTCTTTTTCAGTCTTATACAAATCAAAGACGTGTTCAGCATTTGGAAAATTTACTTTTCAAAAATTTTTGGAACCCTGCTGAATTTTTAGAGCAAAATCATTCAGCTATCTATAAACAAAAAAATATTTTGTTTATGCAAACCTTTTTAGCGTCAAGAAATCGGCTTTACTTGGGCTTCATTGATTCAATTGAGAATGTTTTAGATAATGTAAGAAATTACTTCATATATTTTCCAGGCTTTCATCACTGAGTGGTTTGAGTGCGAAAACGAAATTCAAGAAATGGACCGTTAGTCTCGAACCGGAATGCCCGAAAGGTTACGAATCGAATGGGCTTGTTTGCGGTAATAAATGAGCAGTTGATCATTTGTGAATGAAACTTTTGAAAATAATTTTGTGCGCCTTCGTTTTAGTCGGTTGTGGACCTGGTGCCTTCTTGGATCCGTCCACAAAAATGTGCCAAACCTGCTCTTCTGGAACGTACCAAGACAAAGAAGCCGCAGATTTCTGCAAACCGTGTCCAGGGTCTGATACAAATCATACCCTGGAAAGTAGCTCTTCTGAAGCCCCCTGGTTATTCAAGGGACTCGCTGGTGCTACAAGCATCACTGAATGTGCAGGTGAGGAAAAAAAAAAAAATTCAACTGACTTTTGAACCCTTATATTGGCAAATCGAAATTCTGAATTCCAGCAAATCTGCTGGCCCTCGGATGCATCTTCCTTCAAGCATAGATAAAAAAATCAGAGGTTTGGAATACATTTCTCAGTGGAAAAGTGTTGCATTCAAGAAGAACGGACCTTTTGAACAATCTTTATGCATTTTAAAATCATGTCCGATTCATATTGATCCAGGATAAATCACTGTGTGATGCTTCATTATTCCTGCAGGCTCTTCTTTTAAATTTCCCGATCATCAAAACATGGAAACTCACTGCTGAACAAAAAATAAATAAATCATTTTTCTAATCGTGATTTCAGCTATAAATTTTTTCTTAATTCTGTCCCCTTCAGGAGCTTGTCCGCCGGGGACATTTTCCAGGAATGGCCGCCAGCCTTGCAAACCTTGTCCCAAGAGCACTTTCCAGACTGGTTATGGGAGAACGGAGTGTGAAGCGTGTGGCGCCAATGCCACCACCATGCGCCAAGGTGCCACCAGTTTCCAAGTCTGCTTGACCAAAGGTAAGCAAATATGTACAGTGCGGGGGGCCCCGAGATGCGTACATAATTGGTGCTTGAGCCGTGTTGTCCCTATATTAATTCAGAATATCTTTATTTCGGATCACGTTTCCCCTTACATTGCAATGAAAACATATGCAATTGGTTCTTCTGTTGATATGAAAATAGGAAAGAAGTCCCTTGAAAATTGATAAGATGATTTTTTCAACTTACGATAAGGTAAAAATAAATTAACCGTGCAGAAGAAAACTACACATAATCTGATCATTTTGTAAAAAAAAAATAAGCCCGAAAAAGCAAAAAGCAAGCATAATAGTTTCGGTAAACTGTGCTGAGATGATGGGAAGAACAAACAAAAAAATCGAAAATTAGCCTGGTCAGGATAAAGAATTTTAATATTTTAAATATACTGTATAATTAAATGTATTTTCTAATTTTTTTGAATATAAGATAAAAAAAAGCTGAAGTAAAAAATAGACATCCGAATTTTTCAATTTGTCTAGAAATATTGGTGAGGTGTCCATCATATCTTGAGACATTTCCCGGATTTCGGGGCAGGTTTTTTTTTTTACTTATAAAATGTCTCAAGCTTGAATATCGTTCATATGTTGAGGCGTCCGCATGTCGTCGGGTCCACACTCTTGGTGTACAAGCGAAGATTTCTGTGCATAAATGATTTTATTATTTTCTTTCAGAAATCTGCGCGGCTGGAAGCTTTTGGAACAGAACCACGGGATTGTGTGAATTGTGCCCCCGAGGGTTTTATCAGACTCTCGATCAGAGAGACTTCTGCTTTGCGTGTCCCGGGAACTCGATGACAGAGTTACCTGGTGCTCAAAGCCTCAAGCTATGTCGAGGTATGTCTTGCAAAACTTTGCCAGGTGTCACTGCTTTCATATATTTTTTTCGCTTCCATCTCGTAAATAGAAACCTCTTGCGAGATGCACTTTGACGGTTCGATGGGGTATATCGAGACCCCCAATTACCCTGGTAATTACCCAGTGAGCACTAATTGCTCGTGGACAATCAAGCCTCCTCACGGGAAACGGGTTTTGTTCTTTTTGCCGAAGTTGGACATTTCTGCCGACGATTCGTGTGAAGATGTTTTGGTGCTGCGGAAGTCAAGTGAGTCCTTCTTATCCATCCTCCTTAAAAACCTTATTCTCTGAACAATCTATTCCATTTTTTTACATGATTCATCCCAGAAAGACAATAACGTATTCGATGTAATCGATTGTGATTGTTTTTCTTCCATGCTGCAGGCAATTCTAGATCAAGGACGAGTTTCTTGACTTGTGATCGACTTTTGAACCCTGTGGTGATCACGGCAAAAAGTAGGAGTGTTTGGGCGAATTTCAGAGCCACTGGGAATACTACATCTACAGGATTTCGAATGAATTTTGTTTTATTCAACAGTGAGTTTCTTGTTTTGCTGATCATCAGGGAATTTTAAAAGAAGAGGCTGAAGTGATGAAGCATCATACAATAATTTATTATCCTTGGTCAAAACATGACGGACATGATTTTAAAATGCTATGGAAATTTTTCAAAAGGTTATTTCTGCTTGAATGACAATCTTTTCCACTGAGAAATATATTTCAAGGCTCGGGTATTTTGTTTGAAGACTTTCGTGTAAAGATTTTTGAGACTTCATGCAATTTTCCGTATAATATCGGGGCCAAAAAATAATGCATGCATTGAAATTATCAACGTCAACAAATTTTTTATATTCTATCTCAAAAAATTTCAAAGGAAGATGCATTCGAGCACGAGCAGAGATGCTGGAATTCAAAATATCGATTTGCTAATATTATTTTCAGTAAAAAAAATAAATTGACGCATTAAAATCCGACTCGGGATGATGTGAAAAGAATTCGTGAATATTCGGAGGAAATTTTTATTTTATTCGCATGTTCAACTAATTATTTTCAGGAGTGGTTTTATACGTATTGATCGTATTTCTTTTCAGCTGAGTACCAGCCTCTGATTGAAGAAATCATCAGAGATCCGGCACTTCTGAGCACTCAAAATCATGTTCAAGTATTCCAAGTGAGTTTCGAATTGCAAATTTCAGCGCTCAAGATTTACTCATGATCAAAATTAAATTTTTTTTAAATTTATTTTTTATTTTTCAGGATCCTGAGCTGCTGAAAGCATTGATGGAAGTAATAGCACAACCCGTCAACTACTACAAGTACATCAATATCCAAACGCAGCTGTTCCCCAGTTCGTTCATTGATCTGTTGACTCCCAAAGTGCGGAAATTTCTTTCGTATTGATGATTTTCAAAATTTTGTTTTTCGTAACGCTGTGAAAATAAGGTGAACAAGTGCTAGTTTCGACGAACAAAATGTTGTTGAATAATCGGTGGTTTTTATACATTTTTTGTTGCGATGCAAATGGAAGTGTTATTTACGGATTGTCGGAAAAAGATTGAGAATCCGGACGGATTTAAGGAATTTTTATGAATGCTCGACTCTTCGGATTTTATTCGCAGTGGGAATTTGTTGGAAAGGATACATTTCTTTCGATTTCATTTCAAACTTCGACTCATGTATGCTATACGATTCGAATTTCAATGATGGGCACAATTACAGTGTCAAGACTGTCAAAAGTAATTTCTCAAAGTTCGCTCGACACGGAGTATTTTTAATTGTCCGAGAAAATTGAGATGGGGTATAAATATCGTCCGAAAAAAAAGTGCTGAATTTCTTCGACTTCAAGTTAATATCAGGCGATTCTATCGTATGAAAAAAATGTTAATGAAGACAAAGTTTTCCTAGTATTAGGAACGTATTCAAATCGGCTAATCGATGAAGGTTTCTCAGACATATTTTCGTTTGATCCGATTTCTCATCGATGCTGGCTGATACTCTTAGTCCCACAACTCTTAACCACTCGCACGAAAAAAACCTATAGAATTGTCATGAGAGAGATCTTCAAATATGTTTTACTGGCAGCAGCCATTTGCATTTTTCCACAATTGAGTTCAGTACCAGTGTATAACCATTGTTCTATGGATTGGGGAGGAGAAGGCTGCAAGTCTGATGAATTTGCTTGCCAAGTTCGCGTGAGTGCGATATATTTTTTTTTTCTCTTTTTATAAGTGAAAAAATATCGATCAATTGTATTGACAGGCAACACCGTTTTCTACGATTGAGGGGAAATGTTTGAATGAAGACCAGGTTTGTGATGGTGAACCCCATTGTGACGACATGTCTGACGAGAAGGATTGTGCTCAAAAATGCCGAGGTGAAATTTGCTCGTGGTATTTTTTTCAAAAATTCGGAAGCTAATCTGCAGGAGTAATTTTTTAAAAATCCCCTCGAATAATAATCAAGCACCTACAGAGAATTGAAAATAAGACAACACCCTCACAGAATTCATTATATACAGTACTTTCAGATAAGCCTGCTGAAGTAAAACGAAACCTTTGCATACCTCCCAATTTGTATTCTCGACCACATCGTTTAAGCTTTTAATTGCGAAACGATGAACAAGTTATTCGTTCAAGCGATGGAATATCTACACTACGAGTTATTATATTTAAACTTATTATTATTATTATTATTTAACTTATTATTATTATTGAACTTATTATTATTATTTAACTTATTATTATTTTTAACAATTTTAAATGTAGTTGGTGACCAGCAAGAAGTTGGCACGGTTTGCTACCGATGCATTGCGAGTTCTTCGGGGGGATTCAGTAGATGTCACTACTTCCTCGGACGGATAAATGCTTGCCCCACTGAGTGGTGCGTTGTCAGATTTGGGGCCGAAGGTGAGGCCATATTGTTCATTTTTGGCGAATCCGCTGTTATTTCAACGATTTTTGCTGTTTCAGCTGTTACCTTAAAACGGTTATCGATGCTATAACCCACTAACCAAACAATCGCCTCTTGGCGAAAACAATTTTCAAATTCATCGAATTATAAATTTTAAGATTTGACAGTATTTACATAAGCAGTATACAATTGAATTTGAATTTTTTATTCAGATTTATACTATGTTGTAACGTACTTTACGTGAGTGTCGCGCACGCTGGAGTCAGGCTTGCACCAAGATTTTTGGCACGAAATTTGCCCAAAAACCTTTCATTCCCACAGAAGACCGGAAGATCAGTCTCTTTTTACGTGTAATTAAAAAAATTATCATTTACCAAAAAATACGTTGTAAAAGAACAAGCTTATATAAAACGAAGCGAAAGAAAATGAAGAATTCCATCAGGATCGGTGCCAGAAAGGATTTTCATCCCTTTATTTTTTCATCTAAGACTTATGCAATATTTCTGGAATCGTATAATAACTTGCTGGGGCATCTTTGAAAATCACAAAATATATTTTGACGCTTTTTTTCATCATTACACGTGTATAGGGAAAATTATTGCCAGAGACTGTGCCATGGGCATGACGGAAAGCATGATTGAAGTTATTTCTTGGAATGGACGGACGCAGGAAGTGGTTCCTTGCGAATTCACATCAACGTCTAGGGCAGCCGAGGACGAAGAGTACCTATGCTACTGCAAAGGACGGCTTTGCAACTTTTTCAGGTTCACCTACATACAATAATACAGCAGTCCCAATGTGAAGAGGCTAGAAAGCTTACAATAAGTGGTGGCAAACATATGCAAACATTCAGCAGATTTTATGAAGAGAAACAAGCTGAGGGTGCCCAGCCACACCTGGGCAGTGGAGAAATTTAAAATTTTCTATGAGATCACAAATGGATGAGGGCAGGCCCAGTTGTGTGGCCCAGTCACAGCACTGGGCTTCATATTTAAAAAAAATTAATCACATTAAAGCTGGTTGCTCATTGTTAATGGACCACAAGTAATTTTGCATTTGTGCTCAAATGCACATGAGCAGGGGGATTTTATTTCTTGTTACAAACCCAAGGTAATGGGATGCAAAGCCACACCTGAGTGCAAAGACCTAAAACTGAAAAATACCTAAAAATAGGACAATAAAACACTGTGTACAATATAGCCTACATTTAGCACTGTTTAATGTGCACAAAAACAGAGCTGTTCTTCTCTTGAGAATAAGCAGTCATGCTCAAGGAAATAGCTTGGCAAACTTTTTTCTCAGCTTATATCGCATTAAAGTGAAGGCTAGTTAATATTTATAGCTTGGTTGGGCTCAATTTAAGCTGTAATTTCCTTTCTATTACTGTTATGTTTATTTAGACTGGTCCAGCGAAGCTTGTTTGAACTTTCATTATATAATGTAATAGCACTCTACTGCACCATGCGTATATGTAAGGATTTCAGTTTGGTTAGATATTGTGCATTTTTAATAGTAAATATAAAGCTTATATTTATTGTTTCCTGTGAAAAGCTGTTTTTGAGTGGCTTATAGATAAGCCACGTGGTTGAAAAGCACACAGAAAAGCAAGCGCATATTAAAATTGCCATGATTAGCATATCAACGCAATTAAACGTGAATGATTTTCATTTATATCAAACCCTACAATTCAGTCAACTAAATTTTGATTTGTCAACAGTAGGGTTCTAGCTTGAAAAAAGAGGTTTGGGTCAGTCAACGTCAACAAGTCAATAACCAGGTATTTTTTTGGAGAACAAAAGTTTATTGACCAATGGTTCATTGTATAAGACAGTTTATGGTGACCACAACTATATGTATAGTGTTGAGTTTTTGAGAGTTCCACAATAGGCTATATGAATGAATGAACAGAACACTCTATTTGCCGCTTTTCAGCATTCAAAAGGTTCAATCAAGATTTCCACAACCAAACCCCCTTCCCACCCAACCCAAATTCACTCAATGACATTTAATCACTTCAGAGCAGGGAACAGAGTAAAAATTGATAACAATAATAAAAGAAAATATGATCCATGAAATACATGTGGACATCTGACATGTATGCGTACACCCATTCATTCCCTGACATAGGAAACAAAATATATGTGAAGATTAATTTAAAGCACAAGGTCTTCAGCTTGTTTCTGTATATGAGGTTTAGTTGAGTGAACAAATTAGAGAGAATATATAGGCTATATATGTCATTCATTTGAGCTGAATAATTCATAGTGCTGTATTTGTTGTCACTGCTCCTGATCAGTGTGAATAATTTTTTGAAGATTTAATTTCTCAGATTTCATTGGTACATGGAAACCATAAAAATACTGTATTTTTCTGCATGTTCCACAGGTCTGAAATCCCTCTGAGTCGTCTTCGAGGTGCTGTGTCAGTCTGAATAACACGCGTCAGCGAAATATATTCGCATACGTTGCTGTAAATTTGTATTCGTCCCAGAGTGTGTGTGTTTTTTTGTGGTTTTCTTCTCGTCACCGCTCAATTTTCTCTGAGGAATAATACGAAACTCCGCACTTTTTTTTCTTTTTGGAATGATATGTGAAGGAAAAAGGTTTCGGTTATATACGGAAAGGAGATTAAGACGAGCGGGTGGAAATCCCCAAGGAAATTGCTTGGTAAACACTGCTTTCGGGGATTATCTGAGCAAAATAGGAAATTCGGTGACCTTTCAACAAAGGGCTTATCTTTGGACTGCTGGTGCTTTCATGTATAACCCATGGCTCTTTTTTTTTTTTTTGTGCCTCAGGCAAGCGAAAAATTGATTACCTGCCGGGGAAGGAACTTGTGGATTGTCAGAGTTGCCACGGGAAAAAAACAACGTGAAAAAAGCATCTGTATTTATTTTCTCCGAAAAACCTATAAAAAAGTTAATTGAAATTTTCACCTCGAAAATTTCGAGATTTCAAACGATCACTGCATGGTTTCGATTTTCTTCCACAAAAAAGGTATTTTTAATATGTTTACATGAGCGAAATGTATTTTCCTGATGCATAAAAATGATACAACGAATTTGAGTTCATGGAATGCGCATAAAAGAAAATGCCTCGCGGTTAACGAAAATTCTTTGCACTTCTAAAATCCACGTCTTATATTTCTTGAGCAGCGTGACAAATAAATAAATAATGTATATTCAACCACGCGGTCACGATTCACGAACACTTGTATGAAAGAAGAAAATGAATACATATTCTACGATTATTCGAATGAACCTCATTTAAAATTGTGGAAATGTTTGAATCAGTGACACGCCATGATGAATCTGTATATACAAACTCGAATTACTGGGCTACAGGTGAGTTAACATTTACTGGCGGTTGGCAACTTTTACCGACCCCAGGCGGGTTAACCTGCCTTATTCCACATTTTCCTGGTACATATTTGCTGTATATGTCGTTGCCATTACGCATGAAATATTCCCCTCCAGAAATTTCTCTTCGAAAATCTCATTCGACTTCCTGTTTTCTGACGAGATCCTCTCTTTCCACCGGGTTTTTATTTCCATGGAAACAATGGCTTTCCGTATGTGATGATCTATTTGAAGAATAAAGTTTGAAATGTTTTTTTTTTGTGAGAAAAATCCTCGGCAATTATTGCCGATAAAGCCCATGATCGATACCACGATCGACCACCGATTATATTTTCAAGCCCTTGTTTGAAATGTATGAAAGTACAGTATTACAAATTCAATTTTTGTTCGTCGATGGTTTTAAAGTTACTTATCCTAGATATTTTTGTCAACGATAATTTGTCCGATAAAATTTCGAGATCGTTCCAGTGCTGTATTTCTGGTTTCAAAGAGCTGGCCGTGGTTGTTCTATTACAGTACTTGGATGAGTCTCTCACTGCATTATTCGATGCAGGAAATCGGCGAAGAAAGATTAGTTTGTAATGCTGTAGAATGGAGGAAGAAATTTGAACTCTCCATTATTGTTTAAAACATTCATTAGTTCACCGAGAAATATTTTTTGCCACTACTGTACTTCGAAGTTGATTTTATCGTTCTGTAATATAACATGTTTGTATTTCATTTCAGGTATGCGTCTTCCACTGAATGTTAAATTGCGCATCGATTGTTTAAAGGCTTGGTTTGCATATATTTCGGTGTCTTAATCTCCAATTAAAGATGCATCGCTTTTTGATTTCGACTCGATGGTTTCTTTTTTAGAAATAATTCCAGCTGTCAGGGACTGAAAGAGGTGACCCAACAACACATACACACGAAACACTTTCACAAATACATCTTTCAAATAATCAAACTTCATTCAACAACTGTCAAACCGGCCTCAAAACAAGTCCTCAAGATATCAATCAGAAAACTCATAGCTTACCAAAGAAAGATAAAAAACTTTACTTCCTGGTCAATTTTTCTGGAGCTTGGATCTTGAGATTCCGAAAGTGAAACATTGATTTGGAAGGTTTGTGAAATATTTTAGAATCTTTTTTTTTACTTTACGTGGTTCCTGAAGACTTATGTCTAGGCCGCAAATGGCCCATTGTGTTTACGTTTATTTCTCGTGAATTATTTTGAATTTCTTCGTCAGAACCCAAGGGTTCCAACGACACCAGCGTCCAAATGATAACGATTTTTTTTTCATCAGTCACAGGATGTAAATTGCGGTGAGCTATAGTAACATGCTTTATACTTGATTACCATTCCAATGCTTACATTATTTTTTCTTGCGGAATGATTGTTAGATTCAGAAGGAAGCGGGACCAAGTTGTCTCATTAAGTGCTTAGTACTTGCTTGCAAATTAAAGAGACACCCTCATCTGAAGTACTCGAGACATTTCCGTAGATGTTCAGCACTTGTTCATAAACGTTGACATAGAGTTACAGACTAAGAATATCAAGTATGGCCTTTCTAGTACTCATTATGTGCGTTCTTCATGGGGGACAGTACTCTAATTACGTCTCAGAAATGCCTTTTTTTTCCTGCCTCGATGAGAAACGTATAATTTCTCGGTGTATTTGGTAGCCTTATTGAGGAGAAGCCTGAAAATGTTGTATTCATCCAAGGATGCACTACTTATTTTCAGAATTCGTCTTTATTTCCCTCTATAAAGGAAAAGAAAATAAACCAACGGATTCTTTCCTGCTGTCAGCCACTGACCCGAAGTTCCTATGCTTTCTTTTCTTTTCTTACATTTGTCGCAGTTGTGGAGTTCCTAGGGTGCACAGGAGTGTCATAAAAATCCTCTCACACTCTGTTGATCCTTCTCATCTATTCAGCTTCAGTTCTTTTATTCCGTGTTTGTTCGTACCACATGAGCGGAATCTAAAGAAAAGCTAATACAATAGCATGTATATAGTACGGTATATTAGTACAGTAGTGCAGTATTTACCAGGGGTGTACAACAATTTTTTCGGAATACAAATTTAAACAGCTTATATGACCACGCTGAAAAATATTCATTGTTCAGAAAAAAAAACATTCTTTGGCACAAGACATTTTTTTTAGCCCTGTTCGACGCATTTTAAAGATAATTTTTGCAAAAGTCAAACGCCGGCAGCTTTCTGACTTCTGAGGGGCCCATCTCACAAATTTTGTTTTGTGTGCCCCTGTTTTCCATGCAGCATTCTTCAACTTTACATAAAATGTTAAATCCAAGTGTTGCCGCAATAGATAGTGTTGGGTCGCGCCGGGGCTACTTTGTAGCCCCTTGTAGCGTATTTGCGGAGGATTCTAAAAAATCGGTGCCTGGCACCAAGAGGTACAAAATGGCAGGATGGAAGCTCCCGCTACCTTCTGCCAAATTTCACCTGCTGCAGAAACTTTTTCTGAAAGTTGTCCAAACCAAAGTTGTAGAGGAAGCCAGCAATGACCAGTATGGGCACTCGCTGACTTCATCTTGTGAAAGAAGCATCTCCCTAGGATTTTCCTGTTGTGTTAAACTGTTGTGCTGATTTGGTTCTTGATCTGTTGTTGCATTTGTGACTATTCTGTGAAGTGTCTGTATTATCTGCCTGACTGTTGTTAGAGCATTGCTATTAAAACTTGAACTGTTCTTGGGACTCCTGTAAGGAGGATTCGGCCTCGTAAAGGCTGATTGCCCTGTTGATTTATTCCATCAAATCGTTGTGTTTCCGGCACCGCAGATAGATTGTTAATTTTGCCAAATTCATGATTATCAGCCTTCTTCACAACCGCCACGCCTTAGGATGAGAAGGTTGCGGCTGGGAATTAAAAATGTGCAATTTACCCTGAAATAGCTTGAAGGAAGCCTGGGAATTGATGCCACGTTGATTTCAAAAATACCGGAGGAGAAAGTGGGGTACACCAAAAAATTATGCGAGATATATGGGCACCTCATCTTTTGAGTGAAGAGCAAAAAGCTGCCAGTGTGGCTTTTGCAAAAAAAAAAAAAAATATATATATATATATTTCAAGCAGGGCTGGATATTTTTCTGGTGCGAAGGAATGTTTCTTTTCCTGAAAAGTGATTGTTTTCAGCTCAATCATATGCTCTTTCAATTTTTATCCCGAGAACTTTTGTTAGACCCCTTGTACACATCATATGTGAGATAACCCTGTGCAGTCTTGACATGGGACGTATCCTGGATGCTGAACGAGACGTAATTCGAGTCATCAGGGGGTCCGAATTGATGGGAGAAAATGAAGTTTGCACAAATCAGCAGATCTATGCAGTTTTCCCATACTAAACAGCTGTAGATATTTTGAAGAATCTTAAATTTCGATTTTCCGTTCATCGTTGAAGATTGGTAATGTTTGAAAAAACTAATTGTATACCGAGATATATTCTGTGTACCAAAGATTGATTTTGTTGAAAACGTTTGCTGTATAAAGCCGAAGAATATTGTCACGTGAAAGTTACGTTTACATTAACTAATTTTCACGATGTATATCTTATTTTCTGTTCCCATAAGACGCACGTGATCTCACATCTTCCCAAAATCATTTGGTGCTTCATTTCATTCAAATCAGTGATATTTTGTGTTTTTCTCGCCGTGAATATCAATTTTATTCATCTCCTGAACATTTAAACATGACCCAGCTTTTCATCCAATTTCTGGAAATGCTTCATACCTTCCTGGCAGTCTTGAGCATTAAAATTTCAGAATAATGCAATGCAGGAAAAACGGGAGACACATAATCATTCATCCATTATAATGGCCGTTTGGCCCGGAAAATTGTTGTCTCAAAATTGAAACAGAAGAGGGCCTAATTAATTCGTGCCCAGAAACGAGTTGGACACGATTGTTTCGAGGTTTGTGCAAATAAGATGCCCAAACCATCACACA